GAGAATGGAGATCCCTGGATTCCATGTTCTTACAGCCAAGCCTGAGGTACATGGGGCAGGGGTGGGGATATGCTCTCCTTCTCATGGGAGGAGATGCAAGTTGCAGGCAAAGGGCATGGATGTGTCATTCTAACATCAGGAAGACGGAAAGATTAAGAAGAGTGATCCAATCTGCAACATAAGCCCTCATTTGCTAGCTGTAGAAGACCTAACCATGAATCTTTGCGTTGAAAATAAATACTTGTGAAATGACAATCAAATTCTCTCACTTTGAGATTTCACAATTGTGTAGGGGCCTGTCAGATACACATACACACACACATACACACACCCCTCATGGAACCTACAGGATCCTGGACAGCACCAGGCAGGCATCAGGAGCAGAGCAAAGAGAGTGAATGACCCACATATCGTCCCTGGAGCAGTCAGCTCAGAGACTGCCCTGAGGGTTGAGATGGGACTGGGGGAAAGTCAGGTGCTTCAGAGGGGTGGGGGTCCTGATGGGAGGACGGAGGACATCAGGAATCTGGGTACTGATATCTAGAGAGGAAGGCCCACTATTCCCAAAAGAGAACACATCTCTCGTATGTGGGACCTGCACATACAGAGGGTTGCTGGGCCAGGCTGCCAGTGTCTCAGCTCCAACACCAACCCTGCTCCAGGGTGCAGAATTTGCAGTCTTTGCCTGAAATGGGTTGGATTGAGGTTGACTGTGACATCAAGGGAAGCCTGTAATTCCAAACATAAAATCCTGTCCTACAAAATAAGAAAATACCAATGCGTTCTCTACTAAGTTCTCAGGGCTGCACTGTCCTCATCTAAATTAGCAGGAAGTTCAGTCATTTCCTGGGTTCCTCCCCCACAGGTCCACTTGAAGACACATAGGGTGGCTCACAATTGTCCCTGCATCTCTAATTTATTCAGCTGCTGCCACCTCCTGGCAGATGGTTGATATTTAGGATGATGGAGCCTGAGAGCCTGGTCCCACAGCTGACCAGGAATGGGGGACTTGGCCTCCAGACTTGTGGGGACAGGGGGGTACTGACCATTCTGAAGGCCTATGGGTATCGAGAACATTGGGCAGTTAAACAAAGCTGCCTAAGTGTGATGGGGCCAAAGAGTTGATGCAGGACTGGGTCGGGGAGCAGAACTGAGGGGCCTCAGCCAGAAGCACTGACCTGAGAAGTTCTTGAAACTTTGCAGGGAAGAGGGTGGAATCTCCAGAGGAAATGACTCAGCTGCGACACCTGAGTGGGCTGTACACTCCTGTCTGCCAACCTTCAGCTTCTCCTACCACCAGGAGTAATGGCCTCTCCTTACGTCCACTGCCCAAAACTCACTTGTGCCCCTTCATAGTCCAACTCTACATGAAGGGACTCTGGGATCCCTTTCTTGCACTGCAGGGAGGAGGAGGGGAGGCTGATTTCTCCACAGACAGCCCAGCAATGGTGTCCTGAGAGGTGGGGTTGGGCTGGACCTCATACTCCTCATGTCCTGGGTCCTGATCTGCAGTTGATGCTGAAACCCAGACACCACTGAGAGAAGTTGTGCCACAGCAAATGACACATCTCTCCTGATTCTTCCCGTAGGAAGGCTCTTGAAATACCTGGGAGGACCAGTCTCCTGCTATGGAAGGCCCAGTCTGGAATGTTCCACAGCAGCCTCACCAAGGCCCATGTGCACAGATCCTGAGTGACAGGGCCTTCATGGCCACAAGCTCATGGCCATTTCCCCCAGTGTCCACACCTGGACAGGGGTATCTGGGCCCTGAGTGTCCAGTCTTCACTGCCCACTGTACCTGGAACCATCTCCCTCCCCAACGACTTGGGTCCTGGGGTTGCTTCCAGTCACCAGTCCAGGCTGCCACCTCCTCCAATGGGAGTTTCTTTCCTTGGGTCCCTGATGTCTGCCTTAGGAGCTTCACTCAGAGCAAATCTAAGGAGTTTTTGGGGGCTGGGACTTGCGGCAGTAGAAACATTTGCCTTTGTCTCAGGTGACGGAAAAGGTCCCCAGGAGCACCAGGAGGAGCGTGAGTGCCCTCTAGTGGGTGGTTCCTGCTGGAAGAAGAGAAAAAGGGGCCAGGAGAGCTGAGAAATTCGGGCTGCCCTTGGAGGAAGGGCACATTCTGGTTCAGTGGGAGGCGTATTTAGGGGTGATTAAATTATGGCTGCCTGTAGCTCACAAGCTGTGGTTTTTTTTTTTTTTTTTTTTTTTTTAAAGATTTTATTTATTCAGTTTTTTCCCCCCAAAGC